ACAACCAACCCTCTCGACCTAGCTATCTCTCTGGGTCACTTTTACTTCTGTGGACGTCAATTTGGCCTTTGTGAGATATTTGCCACGTTTTGGACACTTCTCTCACTATTCTTGAAAGTACATAACATTTAGGGACCCACAGATATTTGGATCGATCTATCTCCCTAGATCGATCCAAATATCTGTGAGAATGGCCCCTTAGATACGGTTTTACAGGCCCGAGTTACTGGCATTGTGAAGTGACATTTATTTTCCTAAATTTCAAATTTCATGAGTCAACAATAAAAAGCTCTTCAAAAGAATATGGGATATCTTTTTTGTTTTTCTGTGCCCCTGAGTTTCACAACATGGCGTGCAGAAGAGAGTCTCCGGTGTAGCTCGGAAACTCAGAGTACTCTACGGGTCTGAAAAACCTGTCATAGTACCTGGTTTCTGTTGTTCTTGAAAGAGAGGGTTACGTTTTATTAATTGTTTAAAGAGATTTATTGTTTTATCGTAAATTCTATACTTGACTAAATGCACTGGTTGGTTTATGCAATCCAACAAGCAGACATGACGGGGGTCACGTGTACACACTCATATGTCCTTTATGCCTTTCAACTAAAACACTGTATTCTAAAAACGCCGTTTTTTTTTCACAGGCAAGGGGTAAACTTACCTTAATGCACCAGTTTATTCTTGAAATAAAACACTTGCACAAAATCAAAGGATTTCAGGGACATCAGAAGTTTTCTAAATGATATGAAACCCGCAGACAAACAGGAAAGGTGCAAAATGCAATCAATTTGTCGCAAACAACGGCGCATTTTGTTCATATTTTCTCCCTTTTAATATCAAAAATGACCCCCCNTGCAGAAGTATGTTGTGGTCAATGGTGTCGAATTCAGCAGACAGATCTAAAAGGACTAAAATAACATCTTTTTGTTTGTCTAAAGAAAGCTGTTAGGATATAAGCAAACAAAAATGTATAAGAACTTGATATATAAGTGACAAAGAGTATGATAAAACGCCTTTTAAGTTTAACACCATGTTTTAAACCACATAACTGTACCAGGCACCTATAGTTGTAATAATGCACCATTTCATGCAGAAAATGAAAGACATGCACGAAATGAAAGTATGCCAGTCACGACAAAACGTTTCTAAACATTAAATCCACATAAAAAGGCGCTCAAATAATCAATATAATGCAAACAGCTAGGAAATTTCGTAGGAAATCCGTGTTTTGTACTGGGGGTGCTGCTGGTAAATATGGATGACATGAAGGGTATCGCGGGGATAGATGTGCATCGCTTTGTATTGTGACGTGTCGTGTTGTGGTTGGTTGTGTTTCTATCACGTGCTTCTGTGATGTTTGTCACGACGTGTCGTGTTCTATGTATAGAACTGTATCGTCGAAACTTAAAAATTCATAGTTCACATTGCAGGATTTGAATATTTAAAAAAAAATGAAAAGTACAAATTTATCTGATATTCTCAATGGCAATATGGGCCACATTGAATAAAACTGTTTCTTACATGTTTCAATGTTTCCGTTTATGCAATTTTCTTTACATCACTGGAAGTCCCACGCCTTTGCTAAAGCGGGTGGGAGGCACAAGAAATAGTAGACGACGGTTTTACCACATTGTGATGGTGATATGAACATTGTATGAAACATTTTTAGGGTGGAGAAAGGGAAGACGTGGCACGTTTTACACCCACCCACCCCTCCTATCCACCCCCTTTCCTGACCCACCAGGTATTGTCGTGTCGTGTTATGTTGTGTAACTATTAGCTTTCTGCCAGTTCTGAAAATGGAGAAACCAATACACACAAGGTATGCGAACCGTATTCGATAGAGACTTGCATCTAAGATTCCTCGTGTAAACCGGACATGTATAGAATGAAGTGACCAAACCAGGGGAGGATTGAAACCATCTTCTGTGTCTTCCGGAAGACGGTCAGATTTTAAAGATTAAGTTTCCATTGACGGGTATCTTTTTTTTCTGTTGGAAGACCATCAAAAATGGAGGATGGATCAACAAAGATAATTTGGAATACTGTCAGAAAATATCCCTGGATCCGCTCCTGCAAACACCAGACTTGCTTCTTTGAAGCTCCTTGGCACCTGACTCAGTAGTTAATAAAGATCTTCCACGTTGTTCGCATGACTCGTTCCTCAAAGACGGTGCCGGGTTACCAATTCTAGTCAATCAATCCAATGCTGCATATTTTTCGCCATCAACCTCCTAATAGTTATCATTTCGTGTTTGTATATGCACCCTGAGCGTTAGAAATTACCTGCAACTCACATATGATAGCGTTCCTGAAGGCGACTGGAGAATGCTACTATTTGTAACATGTCAGAGGTGAGTTTCCTAGAATCTCCAAAATTCAGGCTGTTATTGTACATGGCACGCACGCTGATAACAAAAAGAAAAAAAAACAGCATCAATATACTTCAATATAAACCAATAAATATTAAGTTCTGAAACTCAAGTTGTTTTAGTTAATAACAAAAAAACATACAGATAATAGCAGTAGTTTTCAACATCCTAACAAACTCAGGGTGACCGCTATATAATGACCATAAGGAAATAGGTACATGTTGTGTCAATTTCTTGTGTCATCCATGTATTTATTACCTTTTTTATATATGTTATGTCTTATTCGCTTTTTAAGTATGAAATAAATCAAATCATATAGCACAACAGACAATAGCTGAACATCTCTGGTGAGCTGTCATGTCGGACGACCTGTTGCCATGACAACGCGCCCGTCTTTTCCAAACAAGATAAAATATAATATACGCATCCCATAGATTCAGATATACGATGAGTGAAAATCTTATGAGATAAAGCAACATCTGAACTACATGTATTATTTATTAAGCTCGACTCAGAGATGGCGGGAGAGTGGGCGAATGGGAAGTAATAATACCAAGGTCGTTTTTTACATCGATGAAACTGAAATAGTATGTAATAATTGTTCTCGCCCTTCTTGGGTGACATTAAAATGAAAAAAATGATTTCGACAACTGTATTTGATTTGTCGTTTTTAATCTTAGGATTTGGTGAGAAGCTATTTAACTGAGCTATTATATTGCTGTCATGTGCGAAGCCTTAAGTCGTCCTTACATTATTTTCAAAGGAATGAGCAGTGGAAAGGTTGCTGTTATTACAAATGACAGATCTAAGACCCATCACATTAACATATTAAGTGTTTTTTTTAACGTTTCAACGGTAGGAAGTTCCATTTTCTATCTCCATTTCTTGGTACTTACTTTACTAAATGTTTTCAATTGTGAACAGGGTCTTTGATTTCAATATTTCATATTTGCCTCTTCATGTATAATTATGATTTGGATTGGTTCTATGAACATGTGGTAATCGTCCTCTATTATTGGTACATTTTGAAATTAAGAGCAACAGCAGCGATATCTATCCCCTTTATCTACCTTGTGGAAACCATCCTAATAGACTTTTAAATCATCAATCAAACAACGCAATCTGCTTCAAGATGCTCAGCACTGTCAGTAATAGGTGGCATAAGGTTCTAATGTGAATTATCTGTTCATTTGTTTTATCCAAGCCAGCTTGCAGTGCTCATGCAATCATTCCTTCCACTCGTGTTTTGCTATGTTTTGTAACCTTAAGTTTAATTCCGTCAAAAATACATCCAGTTTCCCTGCTTTGTTATCTCTCCAGTAGAACTGTTGTGTGCCGTGTATCTGTAAATTGACAGTAAGTGATCAAGACATTCAACGCTCCCAAGACCGCTAAACCACCCTATGTTTCTAATGGTACAATATACCAGTTCGAACGACCACAAGGGTTTCAGCTAAATTATCATGATTCTGTTTCACCCAGTGTTAGCCGAGTGTTGGGAATGTGTTAGTTGTGAATGGTACAGTAATCAATCGATTGTGTTGGCTCGACTTGGAGTCGAGACTTCGCAGCAGACACATTCACGCGTTTGGTCACAGGATTGTTGATCCGGAATAAAAGCAGCGTTTTCTGTTTCAACTGAAAACCTCACTTACAGTGTATTACTATCACCTCAGCTTTTGAGTCCAGACAGTGTTATTTGACCCTAGCGAGGGCATGGATTTCAAATAAGACGTATAAACCACCTTTAATAGCCTTCATACGGTTCTAATAAAGACAATATCCCAAGGATTAAACCAAATTAATCATTTTATCAGTCATAAAAGAGACGTAAAATGAACTTGTTTAATTTTTGTTTGTAAACTTTACCCCACTTATCAGACCTACTTGTCTACCCCATTTATACACAGTATAGAAAGCAAGCAGAAAAATCCGTTCAAGTGTCGTTTTCAGGTAATATAAAATGATGTTATTTGGTAGTTCTCCAAGTTATACTATTTGAACAGTGTGGTGAGGTTTGGTCGACTTTTGTGGCAAAAATTTGAGTTCATTTGTACAGTACCTTACCCTGAGTGTCAGGGCACTGTACAGCTAGCTTGCTAACAATTTATACCTTTTCACGGAATAGCTTTACCAGTTGATCATTTTTTGCTGATATGAGTTATTTATGAAATCACGATCGAGCTGGCAATACTGAAATCTAGAACCTAGGGTAGCAGTACCTTTAATGTAGAAGTAAAAATTATCTGATGACAAGTCGTTCATAGATGAGTTAAAATACCTCTTGTACTCTATCAATTTTACGGTGCTCCTTTATAAATGAAGACTTTTGTGTTATTATCAATTACTAACAGACCATACAACAAACACTTCAGGGCATTCGCTCTTTCAAATGGAAAAAGGATCGATAATTACTTGTTGGGACACAAAATGTATCCCGTGTGTGTAAATACACCGCTTTATACTCTAGTAGGGGCGCTTAAATTGTGTGAAGAAAAAAAAGCAGCCAATATATATATTTTTAGAGGTTTTGAATCAAGTGATTTGCGACAGAGTGCATTATCTGTATCAGATCAGATCACAACCGGAAGCAAGGCACTTAACGATGAAAATATCACCTAACTCCAGCAGTGTTGTGCATAGCATTTATTTCAGTGGTACTCAATAAAGTAAAATACATATACAGTGAACTATCTAAATTCCTATCGTACGATAGCCCTACCATAGTATATCCTTTTTTATATAAAATATCCGTTTAAATAATATATATAGCGATCAACAGTTTCATCTGAAATAAAAAAACCTTAAATAACATAGGACGTACTTGACTTGAAGATAAACATGTATTTAAATCTAGATTACATTTGAAATTGCGAGGCCCGTACGGTGCGCGTATACTGCCCGTAATACCTTTTTCGTATGGAGTCTGAGCGGAGGTAGACGGTGGCAGTGCGAAATAGCACGGAAACGTATGGATTTAAGGCCATGTAATGTAGACATACTCAGCGTAGCCCGCAGCCCCTTACGATTTCAGAAAAAAATTGTACAATTTCACCGCACGGAGCCCGTGTAAATGTAATCTATAGGCTTAAGGGATAACAACTGTTCATATGAGATTCAAAGTTCCACAATGAATAAATTGTAAACAATGCATAGACACAGACTAAATTCCATTTTACCACGAAAACGGTTCCTTTCGCAATTATTCTGAAATCTGTGCTTGTCATCGGACCACGTGGACCTTCAAAGATGACTACCCTCCGTAAAAATCTCTCTTAAAAGTTTTTACAAAAACTACACTTTAAAAATAACCAATTGATTAATTTGAATATCGAAACACAGTGGCGGATTTAGGGGGTGTCAGGAGGGTCCTGACTCCCCTTCGATTTCTGAAAAAAAATCACACCAATGGTACCCTCTTGAAATTAGAATTCTGACTAGCTGAATCATAGTTCTACACCATACAAAATGGCGCAGTCCGCTCTCTAAAATTCCAAAATTTTCGGTCACTTTCAGCGGGCCCCGAGCCCCACGCTAGGGGGGAAAGGGGGTCCGCTTTGCATGCGCGGACACCCTTTTCAAATAACCCTAGATCCGCCACTGGAAACGGATTCATTAACAATGAGAAAATATGGGGAAAATGTCGTATACCCCAGACACTCTTTTTTATGGCACTTTTCCTGCCATAATGAAAAGTTGTCATCCGTTTGAGTAAATGACAGGAAAATTTGCATAGTGAGAATGAACACATTGAATGCTAAGTTGCAAACTTGACATTTAAATATTTTCATACAAAACGTTAGAAATCAAATTATTTAAGGCGTTTGATCCTCAAGAAAGTATGACCAAGAAGTTGAAAGAGACACTTTTCTCTCAAATGGTGTCCTATAAAAAGAGTTCATGGCACTATTTATTTATAAGACTTAAATAATGTTCTAACATTAAAACGAACTGAATACAAAATAGTTTGATCGCGTGACATCGAGCTGGCAATAGTGTTCCTTTAGCAGCCTTTTAAAATAAAAACATTTTCACAGCGGCTGAAGTGTGCAGGGTGATATATTGTCTCTGGTCTGCATTTGTTTGTTTAACTAAAAAGATCACAATTAGAAAAACACTATTTACAAGAACAAGATTTCATCTTGATCATTCAATAAAGCTTCAAGAAACCTCTGCAAACTACTGTAAGGATTAGTTCAACAAAGTAAAGAGTTGCCGCAAAAAACAGCATTCAGAACCATGGATATTACAGCCAAGAGAAGCAGCGGTCCTGGGTTCATGAACTGTGACGTAGCGCCATTACAGTAGTCGGTATTACAGTAGCATTCTTCGCCAAATGCACCCCCTGATCCCTGGATACTACCAACGGAGCCCCCTCTACACGTAAAAGTCGTGGAGTTCCCGCATTCTCTTTTGTATCCGACAATTGCTGAAATTAAGAATTCAAATTATCATATCTGTGCGCCTTCACGAATATTAATAACAGCAATTTATTTGAGCTCCTTCTGGTGCATTCTCAAATTGCCGCCACCTGCCATTTTACATATATAAATTGTTTATTTATTGAGCCTTTTTAAGTTCTGATCTCTCTTCTCTCTGTACCTACCATATCCACCTGCTCCTATACCCCCGTGTGATTTCTTACACGAAACAGAGCAGTTCACTTTTGTGGCAGTAGTGGCCGCTGTAAAGATTTTACCACACTTGCCTCCCTCCAAATCTTCACACTGGTAGCACATGACTGCTTCACCTGCAAGTCATAATCAATCGAGGTAAAGAATAGTCTTCGAAGTACTTTCGTTATTCTTCAATACTAAGAAGAGGTCAAATAGGCCTATCATTTTTGTAAAATGTATGACAAGAAATTCTTAAAACTAACCATTGTAACTAACGTTTTATTGTTTCTGATAAGTTCTATTAACTGGTCGTTACTTAAACTCAGTTTCTACAATTACTACATTTGTAATAAAAGATGAGTTTTCAGAGTTTAATGTCCCTTCCTTCGTGTGCTATTAATCTTGTGTTCTGATAACGGTGTGTTAAAAATTATATAGGCCTACTTGTTTTCACTGTGTTAACACAGTTTATTCTTCTTGTATTTGTAACCATGTTATACAAGTACATACACAGGGGCGGATTTAGGCCGTCTTCTGGGTCTTTCGGAAGACGGTCAGATTTTTAAGTTTACATTGACGGGTATCTAAGGTTTTCTGTCGGAAGACGGTCAAAAATGGAGGATGGATTAACAAAGATAATTTGGAAGACTGTCAGAAAATATCTCTGGATCCGCCCCTGCATACATGTAGCTCACAACAGACAGCCATACATGGCAAGTGCTTTGAGGGCACTTGGACTATCTTAGGGACCATTCAGAATAGGGGACTAGCTAGTCCGTGGGTCAAATATGGCGACCCACTACAAGGCTTGCCGTCTAATCCGCTAATAGACACTGAATAGATTCCCCGTGGGGAAGTATTTAAGTGGGTCCGCCATATTTGACCTGCGGACTAGTTAGTCTCTTATTCTGAATGGGGCCTTTATGTAGATTATCCGAGTATTAACTGATCTGCCGGCTAAATATGGCCATTCTTAGACTGGATCCCCATGCCTAGATCGATCCATCTGGATCGCTCTAACTCCCTGGGGAGTCTCACTTAATTGCTATCAACTTAACCGGCTTTAATGTCTGTCACGCCTACCAAATCAGCTAGGGGGTAAAGATAATCAACCCCTAACACCTTTACAAGGCGTGGCAGGCATTTAAAGGTACATACGAACCGAGCATCGGTGGAGCGTGGATTCCCAGTAACACACGTAAACCACTTCTATTAGATTCTTATATGACTCAAATAAATTTGACATGCCAAGGGATAAAGTGGATAGATCACTCGATCAGCCATAAAAGACCTTTAGACTGCTCCTTTCTTTAAATTTTTGGTTGTAAATTTAACCTACTTTCGTGACCTACTTTCCTGCCCCATTGACATACAGCTTAGAATGCCAGCAGAAAAACCCGTTCAAACATCATTTTCGGGTAAAATTAAACAATGCCTTTTCGTAATTCTCTTAGTTATACTACTTGAAACTATATGCTGGCATTTGGTTGGTTTTTGTGACAAAAAATTGACTTTGTATGCATCTTTAAGCCGGTTAAATTGATAGCAATTTAATGAGACTCCTCAGGGACATAGATCGATCCAAATATCTTTGGGAATGGTCTCTTATACGTCCAGCAGGATTGATCTATCTTAGCAGGGATTCTCGCTAAGACACGGTCAATGTAATCAGCTTCATGAACATGATAGTGGATCACAAAACTTTCCCGCCTTTACCGAAGTACTTTAAAAGTACATATGAACCGAGCATCGGTGACCGTGGAGCGTGGATTCCCAGTAACACATATAAACCACTTCTACTAGTTTCTTATACGACTCAAATAAATTCGACATGCCAAGGGATAAAATGAATAAATACCTCGATCAGCCAAAAAAAAGAGCTTTAGACTGCTTCTTTCTTTAAATTTTTGGTCAGATATCTAACCTACTTTCGTGACCTAGTTTTCTATCCCATTAATATACAGCGTAGAATGCTAGCAGCAAAATCCGTTCAAATATCATTTTTCGAGCAAAATAAAACAATATTTTTGATAAATCTTTTAGTTATACTACTTAAAACGATATGCTGGCATTTGGTTGGGTTTTGTGGCAAAAAAAAAATGACTTCATATGCATCTATGAGTTATGAGGGGTGTGTCAGACAATTCAGCTGATTACATTAACTGTGCCCTGGCAAGAATCCCTGCCGAGATAGATCGACCCTGCTGGACCGATAACATTTCATCTGAACACAGCCAGAGAGAGAGAGAGAGAGGTCTACTGGCACGCAAGAGTTTGTTTAGGCCTATGCATATCGATTTCTACCTGCATAAAATGAAAAAAACAGCGTATACGTAGTAGAGAAGAGCCTTCACTATGACCTAAACCTATCAGTGTACCTACCATAGGAATACAGTCCAAATAGCACCGCCAACCCAACGACAAACGTAAACGACGCCATGTCTGTCTCTGCAGGTGAACCTTGTGGACAACCAACACTCTACTTGTGACGTCTTGGAACCTAATAACCGGACTACGTTTTCTAACCAAAGAGAGCCTGAGTCTTCCTTCTGATGACACATCCAACGCCCAACGGGTTTTGTACTTGAATCAAGTCCCGTATGGTTGTTGAGAAAAAGAGACTGTCCAATTGTCCTCACCAGCTCTGCCACGCCAAGTTCGGCTGTCTTAGATAAAGCATAAATATGTCTAGTAGAGTTGGATTGCGAAATAACCCATTTGTGTTGCTCACTATTGAGTTGACTTTCCTTTATTGTCATACTTCTTTGTCACATTCGATCGGCATTTAAAAAAGTGTTCAGGAAGCAAAGCATGAAAGAATAGCAAAACCCATACAGGTACACGTATCAAATGTTTAACCAATCAGAACTACTCTCGCTCACTTGCTTGTGTTTCTTGTATGGAACGTATACCTTTTTATTATTTGGTTAAACCTAAGGTCAACACCAAGTACGGTTGAACGTTCACCTTATTTTTCGGTTCAAAGAACTTCTGGGGTCACTATACAATATGAAAAACTGGCTGCTTTACATGAGCTTTGTTACAAGATCAATACAGCTAGTGCATTATCTTCCTGGGGACATGACGCTTTGTATTGACATGTTCCACCAGCATAACGTATTCGGTTCTGAACTCGATTCATATATCAGAATTGTGCATACATGTATTTATCCTTTTTTTTCGCAAAGAACTGCACTGCAGCATAGTTCCCATGGCTCAACGGGAAAGAAATAATAAACCACAGTCTCTAGAGTCACTTGTTTAGAGCACCGGGCCATAAACTGGAGAAAATATCTGTGTTGGGGTGGGAGAGGGGGGTGCAGGCCAACAGCTACCAGTCTCCAGTATACCCATTTTGGTGCGCATCTTGAAGGGGGGTGCTACATGTAGTACTTCTAATGGAATGAAACGGCTCACATTTTATAAAAAAATTTATCTTTTTTTTTAATCCCCCGCCACTTCCCTGCATCCCACAACCCTGCAGCGGCAACGCTGTGAAATCCTTGAATAGGCACTTCTTTCCACGGGTCTCTTTTCTTGGATGTAAGCGGGGGAGGGGGGGTATTGGGGTAAAGAATGGTGCAAGCGGGGGCCTAGAGGGGAGCTCAAAGAATGAACTGTTCAAAATACTCTCTTTTGACTGTAAAACTTTAATTCGCATGTTAGCATTACGTGCGACAATAATATCAACTGATGCTGAAGACTACAGGTTCTTAAAACATTTTGTTTCTACTGTCTTTTTTAAATTAAATTCTCTGAGCATTTCGACTACCTGTTGGAGAGAGAGAGAGAGGGAGAGAGAGAGAGAGAGCAGGGCCGTAGCCTGAGCAAAATGCCAGGGGGGGCAGTAAGCGGANTTTTTTTTTTTTTTTTTTTTTTTTTTTTTTCCCCCAAATCCCCGGGGGGGCATCTGCCCCCCCCCCCCCCCCCCGAGGCTACGGCCCTGGAGAGAGAGAGAGGGATTAACAAATTAACATTCCTTTCTATTTACTATAATTTTCTGCTTAAATTGTTTCTGAAAACAGGGCTTTGAGCACCAAGTGATTTTTTTCCAAATGCTGATCATGATCATCTTTTTGAGTACAAACACATTGGGGTTATTATTTTCCCGTTTTTAATTCGCTTTGACCAAAGAAATGTATAATATTTTTTATAAATATATATTGAAAGAAAGATATGACTAAGGTAAGATCAATAATTGCTTTACTTCAGATTATTGTAATTACTCCATGTACATTTTTCCCTGAATGAAGTAGGCCAAAATATTCAATAATGAAGTTTGCCCTTTTGTGACTATCACTGTTTCACAAGGGATCTTAAAAGTGCCTAAGGGCTCATTCCCAATGTAACTATTGTTCTACATAGATCAGTGTAGGCCCAATTCTGTGGGGATTCATGCTGAATGCAACCACAGTAACACCTTTCTCTTGGTGCTGAGTAGAATACAGTAAAACAGGTGATGACACGAGTTGAAGAAGAGGAGCCCTCAGTGCACCCGCCTGTTGACAGCCCCCCCCCCCCCAAATACCCCGAAATAAAAAAAAACTCCGTAAAAGTTCAGTTTTATAGCCTGATGGTCTCAATTACATGTAACAATATTCTCAGTATGGTAAGTTAAATGTTCCACACTTTCTCTCCCTCCTGTAAGTCTCAATTACTGTACATGTAACAATATTCTCAGTATGGTAAGTTAAATGTTCCACACTTTCTCTCCCTCCTGTAAGTCTTCCTTATTTTTCTGGAAACCCGTTTCCAGTGCAGATCCCTCAGAGCTGAAATCTTCACCATCTCTCGGTGGTTTTCTTGGCTGAAAACGGGATGCATATCTGGATGAATAACCTGATATTCCACTCTGTTTTCCTCCCACAATTCCTTCCTCTGGCAAGTGTTCTTTGTAATCGGAGCTCTGCAGTGGGTTATCGTAAAACTGCCGGTCAGTGGCACTTTGTTGAGTAGGCTCCTCATTAGAGCTGTTGGAGTACAGGGATCGCAGGTCAACCTTTTCCTGGGCCAGCTGTCCATTTTCCATCAAAACTACATGATAAGGTTTGTTTTCTATAGCTGCTATCTTCAAATAACTGGTGTCGGGGAGAGAGGAGTTCATTATATTTTTTCTAAACTTCATTTTTTGGTGTATCACACCATAACTGTGACCCCCCAAAATAAAAATAGGTATCTGAATCATCAGCTTCCTGCGGTCCTCCCTTAACCTCGGCATTATCTGTTCTTTCCATGTTTGAGGATTTGCTAAACTTTGAACTGCCTTCAAATTGAGCTTTTTTCCTCGAAATATACAATAAAGTGGAGGAAATGAGGCAAAGAGAAGGCTGCAGCCTAAAGCTGACTTTCTTCCCTTCTTTCTTATTGCCTCTGTTACTTCCATTTCCTCGGCAGTTAAGTGGTCCACACCCCTGAAACCTGGAGGAGGGGCAATCGACATCTTTCTCCCACATTAACACTTGGATGGAATCTTGAAGCTGAGGAGAATAGAAAATATACCATTATTAGGTGGAATAAACTTGAACTGAAAATGCAGTCTACTGTGAGTTTAAGCAGAAGTGGACTGGGAAGGAAGAGAAATGCATTGTTGAATTAAATTACTAGTATATTTGCCAAGGGGGGAAGGGGCACTTTTTTCCAATATGCTTTATTTTGTCATGTAAATAGAGCAAGTAGTTATAAAGACTGCCCCTTAACTTAAATGTACATGGCAGGCTTCCATTTGTATGCAGTTTTGTGGTGACTATGGTCAGTTCCTCTACTATCTACTCTAATTAGTTTTGCAATTTATTTACTAATACTTATTGTTGGATGTGCACAAAGAATCACTTGAATATAAAATCATAAACAAATTTTCAAAACAATTTAATTGAAGAGCTGAGACACTGTCTTAATACAGCATATGGATGAATTTGGAATCATTAAGAAAATAGACTTGTAATTTTTCATGGGGAAAGGGGGCATGCAGCTTCACTATAGAATAGTTGATGCATGTAAATGACTGCTGAGATGTGAATGAAGTGGTGAAGAAAGTAATTGTAGGCAAGGCAATTTTGATTGGATCCTTGTTATACTGTTTCCTGAGGCAAGAATGGGGGAGAAAGGGTTAACTTCGAAGCTTGGGGTGTGGTCCACAGTGCACCCCCCCCTTCCCTCCTCCGCCATTATTAAGTATATAAGTATAAATATAAAAGACATTAAAGCTACCACATTTTCAACTGAAAGTTCCTGCATTTTACAACACTATTATTAGTTCTTACTGCAAATAAAATATGTTCTCATTTGTACTCTTTCATTTAGTTTTCATGACAATATGAGATTTCGTAAACATTTACATAACGTCTATCTTGCAAACAGACGGAGGTCATCTGAAAAGGACAAAGCATGCGCATGTAGTTTATATTAAAAAGAACACAGCAATGTTAGAAATCAGACAAAACTCGTACTTTGTCTCGAAATCCTATCTCTACAGATATTTCTGCTCGCAAGCTACCTGTAGGTTGCAGCCCTTACGCCAAAATGTCTGCCCACAATCACGTTCTTCTGTACACATCGGTGGACATTGTTCGCCCTTTTCACAGGGGTAATTATTTGGGACCAATTATTTGCCTGCACGGCTGCAGATGGGTCCTCTTTACCAAAATCATACCCCTGCCAAAATGCAAGGTTTGTTATGCGCATATTTCCAAAACTTATACTGCATTTTTTTAATCAAAGAATGTTCAAACTCTAGGCATTAATTGTCGAAAAGTAAAACATGGGCGCTGAGCAGTTGGTTTGAGATCTTGTTACATTCTTAATGAAAGATGCATGTTCGGCTGTTACCTTGGTTGATTAATCAACCTGGTTAGTGAACCAAAAATCCACCGACAATGACTTTAAAACGCCATACTAGTCTACCATAGACCCCATTCAATATAGGGAACTAACTAGTCCAAGGGTCAAATATGGCCGACCCACTTGAATACGGGATATCTAATACTATTCAGTGTCTACTGGTATTAGTGGATTAGACGGCAATCTTTGTAGTGGATCGCCATATTCTATCCTCGGACTATTTAGCCCCCTATTTTAAATGGCCCCATAAACCCTATCAAAATAGCTTAACTATTTTAAACTATATCCCCCCCAACCCTGTCTCCTCTAATATACCATGCAGTAGCCAGACTTATGCTGACAGTGTGATGATGATGGTGCTGGGGGTGGAAGGAAGAGGGGAAGTCTCAGGGATACATTCTCTTGGTGCAGATATAAAATGGTGGACACAAGGACAAGGCTTATGGTTTTCAGTGGTTTATTTGCATTTGGATATGCCTGTATATATTGATACACTCTGTTAATACATAACTTAGAGCAAACGTACTGGTATTTTGGTAAATAGAAGAGAAATAGATACATATGATGCTGGTGTCTATTTACTTTTTTCCTACTTTTTCTTTCTTTCTTTTTTATTAAGTTTACGATTACATTGCATACTGCATTATAAGTAATTTTCTACCATACACAGACTATAGTAGCTGTGACCTTTACATTTGACATAACATTGATAATTTCAGATATGATGACCATCGCAGAAATCAAAAAGAATATTTTAACTTCACCAGTGGTGACACCAGTGGTGCTAAGACCACATGCGAGCCACAGAGGAGCTGGTCAGCTCAGTCACCATCAGCATTCACAGGTTTTAAATATGAACAGTCCAAATGTTGTATTGCCTGACAACAGTCATACTGGAGAGAAGGAAAAGTTCAGAGAATTAACAATGGATGAACTTCGAAATTTTAGGCTGAAAAAAGCATCTGTTCTGGTCCCTCTGTTACTTACTGGTGGTGAGCTGTATGTTCTTCTCACAAAACGTTCTATGAAAGTTCGCAGTCACAAGGGGCAGGTGGCGCTCCCTGGGGGTGCCTTTGATGTCACATGTGACAGGACAGACGTAGATACTGCGTTAAGAGAAACAGAGGAAGAGGTGGGATTAATGGCAGAGAAGGTGGAGGTGATTGGTCAGTTGACGCCATTGATTTCTGCCGCTGGATACCTCGTAACTCCCATCATCGCCATAATTCAGGAGTTTAAGCCACTCTTGAACAGGGATGAAGTAGAGGATGTCTTTTACTTACCTCTTAGACGATTCCTTTCCAATGATAGACATCACCATTCTCAGTCCACTTCGTACAAAATTCCATTGCACTACTTCACTGACACAGTAGATGGGAAAGAGTTTAACACTTGGGGCTTAACGGCTTTAATCTGTATTGCCATGGCAATGATTGTGTATCAAAAGCAGACTGACTTTGTTGTGGATGATGACATAAAGGTCACATTGGAAAATCCAACAGCAGTCCATGACGCCATGTTGAGTTACATGAATGAAGAGGAGTCCAAGGTTGTCAGTAGTAAACTGTGACAAGAGCTGACTCTTCACCTTGTTGTCTTTTATTGCAGTAATTACTCCATCTTTTCATGGGGGAGAAATTGTGAGTTTTACAGATACTGAATTTTTTAATTCATATTAATTAAATTTCTTAAAATTAAAACATTCCTAGTTTTGAGATTGAGTGGTAGCAAAAAAAAAACTGAAAGACAAGCTGCTTTATGTTTCTTTTCTATGTACAGAAAAAGCACCACAAATGGTACACAAAAATGAATGTCAGTGATTTCATAATTATGTTTGTAAAAAAAATGGTAATTTTCCCCATTAAACAGAGCAAGTAGATAAAGATGAATTGAAGAAAATTCAGAACAAGAAGTTATTTGTACAGTGAAACAGGAATTTTAATTCTACACAATGGGGTCAAATAATATTAAACTTGCTCATACAAAGTATATTTTGTTTTAGATGATAATAATTTACTGCACCATTTTATGATCCCATAATAGACCAGTAAACTGTAAATGGTAAAGGATTGCTCTGATAATGTGATTGATAATTGGTTGATGCTATACCTATGGCATAATATTCCTAATAATAATTATAAAATTATCTTGTAGTACATCTGATACAAAGGCTTTGATCTGACATACCTATTTATTTAAGTTATACAAGAAAGCACAAAATTTGTATATTACTGTGAAAAAAGAAAGTACACAGAATTTATATCAAGCTAATAAACTTAAAAAATTGAATCTTATTAATCTTTTTATTTTATTGACCACAGTGAACTCGTAAAAGTTGAGTGAATACATATACAGTAAATATAGGTCTATATGCTAGCAGAAACAGATTATCTGAGCACATGCCTTGTGTTCTCTTCCAGTGGCCTTAACATGAATATGTCAGTGACACATCAGCTCAGGTCATTTGAGACAGAAATATATTTTATGGTCAGTAAACATATTTAGGGAGTTGATATATGCTCAAGATAGATTTGGCACTCTTTTCATTTATTTTAAAGACTTTTTCTTCTTGTTTCACACCTCTTTTGGTCTATATTCATGAATTAAAAATAAATATTTTTTTATGTTATGCTACCCCAGTATTGTTTTCTTTTTCATAATAAATTAATTATTAATTAATTTTTTCCTGATACAAGAAATAATTGAAATAAATTGTCTTTAAAGGCGCACTGAAGGCTGCAGTACTTTTTTTATTTATTTATTTATTTTAATTTTACAGTAATGCTCAAATGATTTACTGAACACCTATTCCAGCCACCTCAACCCTCCTACACTCGCACGCAGGCGCACTTGCTACCTTTAGATGACCTTTGGTTGACCTATATTTTCTTGGGTCAAGCTATCTAGGTTAAGGCGCCGACACCCCGTTCTGTGGCAGTGTGACTGTGACCTCAGCCGACCGGTCTCATATAGCGCGTGCCAGTTGTGCCACCTGATTGAGTGTCCCGTTAACTTCCTAACTATTGGACCTCGGCCTTGTATTTACTTAATGTTGTTTTGAATCAACACAATAGATGGCTTCTGGTCGGAACCATGGGTATGTAGGCCTAGAATATAGAGTCAGATATGCTTTGAAGCCTAATACAATGTACTTGTAGGAAGGATTACTAGTAATGTGTTTAGCTTAGTTGCAGGAACAAATCTATTATTATTATAACTCCTCACAGCGCAGTTTATAACCAGTGGCTATTCCTCAAAGCTTCAGTCCATTCAGACAAAACGCGAGATACATAATCACGTCCAGGCACGTAGGCCCCAACACATCAGAAAAATAGAATGTACGAGCAGATACCTGGTACATTAGCAGGCCCGTAGCCAGGGGGGGTTCGGGGGTTCGAAAGAACCGCCCCTTTTGATGGGAAAAGGTCCACCCTGGGTTAAATTTGATCTAGGTGCATAGTTTTTATGGGAAAAGGTCCACTTTTTCAGAAAAAGAACCCCCCTTTTGAAATTGCTAGCTACAGGCCTGACTAGTTACGAGCCATTCCGGCTATTACAACCACAGTGTACCGCATATTTGTCCTGATAAATATGTTCATGACGCCATGTTTGGGTAATGCGACAATAAGTAAACATGTAGGCCTAATAAAACCGTTCTACGATGCCCCCAAAGTGCTCAGATTGCTTTTCTTACACTGTCAGCAAAAGTTGACAGCCCCATGCCCTGTTAATACCAGTTTTTGCAAAATTTTAATGTCCAGAAGGACCGCTAATAAATAGGTTACCTTGCTGATATGAAGCAATTAGTGAATGTTAGACCACCTTACCGGTACCTGCACGGGGTCATGTAGAAGGTAAAACGTTTACTAGTGCTGTAAGTTTTAATACAGTGCACTTCTACTGCTTATTTATCGCCTAACAACTACTGCTGCTGCTAGCATGCTTCAAATCTGCTTCGATTTGGGAGCTAATTAGCATTTTTGAAACATGCTAGGGTGCATTCCCAGAGATTTAGATTTAGATCGACCTAACTCCCTGGGGGTTCACGCTAAATGCAGTTAGCCGAGCGGGCACCATAGTTAATTACCCCCTTACAGCTTTTAGTACTTAGACACTTAGACTTACAGTTAAAATGACAATCTATCTAGCTAGAGACATATCTGTGAATATCCGTAAAAATCTATCAGTCGCCCTGGTAGAGGGTAATACAAATGTACTTTTTGTACTTTTTGGAGTAGAATTGCAGTAGGCTATGGTGCATTTCTACTGCAAATATGCTCCACACCACTACCGCGTTAATGCTTCTTTGCTACTTCGATACTACTGCATTTTTTTTATATTATAATAATAATAATTATTATAATAATAATATTGAGAAATTTGTCAGTCTCCATCCGATCACTATTACGAGAGTCACCGTAAATTATCAACCGGTTTGTAAATCACAGAATTTGCCTACTTGTGATAGGGTGCATGCCCTTGTACCAGTACCTTGGTCATTATGGGGAAAACCAGAGAAGTGTCAACTTTTTGAGGAAAATTATCCTTCTTTTGCTCCAGCTTCCACATCCCAAACCCTCATATCCGGGAGATGGAGCAAGATGTTCTGTATCACATCGCCTTGGAAACCAAGTCACATGACCTACCCGCCATGTTTGGCAACGTCAAGGTATAAAAAATGTCTCAGTCAACTGTCTTTTAAAGTTCACAATTACCTTTTTTATACAGAATCGTTTAATTTCAAAGAAATTTTAACTTGGCATTAAGTAATTATATTTGGAAATTCTCGTAAGATAAACTATCACATCGGAATAAGAAACAAAAAATATTTTTTAAAAGGATGATGCACCTTTTGGGTCTTATTCCATGCCAATAAAAACCGTTATATAAAAAACGCATGTTAAACCGAAAAGTAACCAAAATTCTGAAGTCTTATACCGTTTTGATCGCTAAGTCGCAATTCATTTTATACAGTTCGTCTGCGTAGGTGGCAGCCCTAACAGGATGAAGCACCTGGCGGACTACTTGCAGGAACAACTGCACGTGGAGATTCCCGCTGGAATGACACTGTGCAACCTGGGCAAGGGGAAGGCAAGATACGCCATGTATAAAGTCGGCCCTGTGCTATGTGTCAGTGTAAGTGTGAACATGACCTACATGTAAAACCCACTATGGGACCTTAGGGACCATTCCCACACCCTATTGAACTAACTGTGGATTGATCTATCTCCAAGGGGGTTCTTGCTAAATTGCAATCAACTTAAGCGGCTTAGATGTCTGTCACGTCTACTGAAGCTGTTAGGGGGTAATTAACTATCGATTAGCAGCTTCAGCAGGCGTGACAGCCATCTAAGCCACTTAAACTGAAAGCAATTTAGCGAGAAACCCCATTGAGATGGATCGATCCTGGTATGGGAACCCAGTCTAAGGGAGCATTCAGATAGACACATCATACTAGTTGGCTCTTTCCAACTCTGCAGGGGCCCTTGCTAAGTGCAATCGGCTAAACTAAATGACACGACTCCTCGAGCAGCTAGGGGGAATGAACTTTTGTGTGCACTTGGATTTTTTAGCCCCTAGCGCCTTGAGGAGACGTTCCAGACAATTGAGCTGATTCTACTGTTGGACATAACGAGAATACCCTGCAGAGTTAGACCGACCCAACTAGTGCGATGTGTCTATGACCGCATTCAGATTCACATATATTACAGGGAATCTGCACTCGTTTTGTATGTTTCTTTAACTTCACTATCACGCATTTCTGCTTTCTTTCCAGCACGGTATGGGAGTTCCATCTCTCAGTATTTTGCTTCACGAGTTGTTCAAACTTTTGTTCCACGCCAAATGTAAAGACGTGACGATCATCAGAGTGGGGACCTCTGGAGGAATAGGTCGGTGCCGGTGGAAAGTTTTTGGCTCACTGGTGTTACAGGAATGGTAGTCCTAGGAATGGAAAACACCGGTGTAACGAAACTGAGGGTCCATGTAACAGAATGTCCGCCTCGATTTATGATGGTTAGAGTTGAAAGAATGATGCACGTTTTCAAAATTTGTGTCTTATTCCACCATCATGCCAGTAAAAACCGTAACAGTGGGTCAAAATCTTACCTGTACAAAGGAATGTGAAGCGGGCTCTCTATCACGTTTCACCGGGGCGTCATATGATCAGATTACTACAGGTTAGGGTTATTTGGAGTATGGGGGTTAGTATATGACACAAATGTCACCTGTACAAAGTAATGGGGAATGGACTACGGTTCCTAGCGGACTACCATTCCTTTTACGCCTAGAATTTATTTCATTATTTTATTTTGTTATTATATTTTATTTGATGACTATAAAAACACGGTGAATTTAAGATTATCTTCCGTATGGCCCACAGTAATAATGATTACAACAAATGACTCGGAAATAGACGTGATATCGGATGACATAACCATAATAATCTTCGAATGAAAAAAAAACTCTTAAAACTGTCGTTATTGTCGTGAAGAGATCCGCTTTGCTTAATGAGAAACTTGGACCTTGGATATGGTGCTTCAGTCGACGTGTAGGCCTACGTTTTCAGCCGCTATAGGTTTCAGCAACAAAACTGGATAAGTGTTTTCTTTTTACGCTCAGCGACTTCTCTGGAGTAGGAACAAAAACCACAGCGGCCATCTTGGGTTTTGTTTGATCCCATGTTAACGTGGCTGGTCGCCTTTTACATATTCTGATTTTTAATTAGAATATTTTATTTATTATGTTATAATTCATTGAATTTAATTGTTTAATGATGGATAGGTTTGGATCCCGGCACAGTGGTTGTTACTGAGGAAGCCCTGAATACCTTCCTGGAGCCATATTATACACAGGTGTTTATTTATTTATTTATTTATTTCATGTAAATTATATTTTGAAATGATACGAGTAATTAAATACCTCTATGGCTAGTATTGTCACCTGTTTACTTTCTTTGATTTTAAAATAAACAGTACGCATGTTCAGTTACTATAATGATCGGTTTTATCGTTTGTTTGTTTGTTTGTTTGTTTGTTTGTTTGTTAAGCCTCCTACGCACTGCATCAATATTTGATGGGACATTGTTTCAGGTGATACTGGGAAAGGAGACCAAGAAACCAAGTGTGTTGGACCGTGGACTTGCCGAGGCCATTTTGGGGTGTAGCTCACCCAAAGACAACTTTAAAACTGTTCTTGGGAAAACTATGTGTGCTAACGACTTTTACGAAGGTACGAGTACCGGATTTTTATAGAAAAATTGCTTCTGTTCGCTGTGGACTTGGGGCCGATTGAGTTGAAAGCATACGCTCAATAGGTTCTCGGAATTCTATGAAAGGAACGAGGAATAATGTAATACTTGCTTTAATCATAGACACCCTATTTGTGGAAAACAATGTCTTGTAGTCACGAAAATCGCATACGAGAATCCAAAAAAGTGTTGGAAATTTACCGAGGCTCTCCATGATTATTGACAAGTTATTTATTTCCTCTTTTGACTTACTATCTCCCAGAGCAAGCCCGACTAGACGGCGCAGTGTGCACGTTCACGGAGAAAGAAAAGATGGACTATCTACACGAGCTGTACGCCGCGGGAGTTCGGAATATCGAAATGGAGGCCGTGGCTTTTGCCGCCATGTGCCACCGGGTCAATATTAAAGGTAAAACAGGAGGCTGATTGCGTGAATAGAAGTAGTAGTAGTAGTAGTAGAAGTAGCAGTAGTAGTAATAGTAGTACAATGTAGTAGTAGCGGTTACTGTTTCAGTAATAGTAGAAGTAGTAGTCAGAGAGTAGTACATAATATAGTGAAAAGTGTACATGTACCAAGTAAACAACATACCCGCACTGTTGCTGTAGTGTAATAATTGTGTACCGATATATCATTTCCCCAAGAGAAGTCTGGAAATATTGGAGAAGATAAAACTTAGATCTTTTACCATACTCCTTGGGCAGTATTTCACATTGCTGTTGGTAAAAAGAAATTACATACTTGATTATGAATACAAATAAAATGAAACCCTGTAGCAGTGCATAGCGAAAGAATCTACAAATTTTCTTTATCACTTCTTCTATGGTGGTGCATTTGGAAATCATAAAGCTTCTTTTATTTTTGTTATTTTGCTACCAGGTGCGGTGGTTTGTGTAACGCTAGTCAACCGACTGAAGGGAGACCAAGTCACGGCCACTAACGAGATTATGCGAGAGTATCAGAGACGACCGCAGAGAATTGTTGGCAGATACATACGTCAACAGCTTGGCCTTGATTAGGACTGCAAACAACTCGAGACAAATTGTTTTATGGAACATTTACCAATATTTTCCGCTAGTTCATAACCATTCCTTGCTGTTTTAGCTTTCATAGAGCGTCGCTTATTCTGGCAGGTTTGGGATTGATGACAAAAAAGTCGGCCTCGCTTCGCTCAAAATATACAATGGAATCATGTTTAAATGAGTTTCATTTCCAACCAATCATGATGGAGAAAACTGTGACAAGTGGGCAGTAACTATATCTGCTTTGTATTCTGCTTTCCATCAAACTCTGTGATTTAGCATGTTACATGTATCGGAAGATGACTGACGTTTATCGTGGTTACTTGCCTAAAAACACTCTTCCACAAATGCTTCAAAGTCGACTTTATTTAGAGTCGCGTATGAAGCAAAATTAAGACGATGAGGATTCCTTTTGCCAACCCGCTCCTGCTTCCTGCACTCATGACGGACGTGGTAGAGGATTAGCCTCCATAACACACAGGAGCGCACCCAGGGTTATTTGAAGGGGGGAGGGTCCGCGGATGCGAAGCCGACCCTCCCTCATCCCCTCCCCCCCTTGGCGTGGGGTGCGGGACCCGTTGAAGGGCCCTGAAAATTTAGGCATTTTAGAGGGCAACCTATGTTTCAGCTAGTCAAAATTCTAATTTCAAGAGGGGACCATTGTTGTGATTTTTTTTTCAGAAATCGAAGGGGGGAGGAGGTCAGGAACCCCTAAATACGCCACTGAACATAGTCGGCTATCCGATTTTAACAGTCTAAGCTTAAAGCAATAATAACTCTTCGTTTCGGCCAAAAAATGAATTTTCCTGGAGTAAACAACAATTTTCCCATACTTACCAATGGTTAATGAATCCATTTTTACATTCAAAGTTAGTCCCTGGTTTTTTTCTAAAAAGTTTGGTTTTTTGTTAAAATCTCTAAAGAGATTTTAACAGAGTATAGACATCAATGGAGGTCACGTGGTCTAAAGACAAGTTCAAATATCAGAATAAAAGCTATAACTGCTGTTTTTGTGGTAAAACAGAATATATTATATTTCTATGAGTTATTCACAAGGTTTTTATTGTGAAATATAGGTCTCATACAAAGAGTTATTATGCCTTTAAACGTTTTTCGGAACAGGGTCCACCCGTAGATGTAACAATATAAGTAAACATCACTTTCATTCATGAGCATTCCATTCGCGCCTACAGATTTCTCGCATTTCTCACACCTTTATATTTGTGATATTTTTTAGTCGCCAAGAACGTAACTATTAAAGTGTTTTTACTGTCTACATATTCACGGAGGATTGCTTTGTTGTTTTATTACTTTTAAGTTAAAACTGTGAAGAATCGCTCTGTAATTCTGTATTCCCCCACACGGGTATATTTAGAAAATGATCAATTGGAAATGTGTACGAGTTAAAACATGTACGTGGCATGATGGTCTGGATGTGCTTTTTCTGATGAAATTTTAGATAACTACAGGGGGCACAGCCCTGTCTCCCCGGGCTTACGACCCCGCGGGGAACGAATTTTTGGTCCAATCTCACCCCCTGTCAAAGTTGGCAATTTGAAAATATTGGAGCATGAAATCCGTACGCCATGACTTATAGTTGACTGAGTTTTTTTTAGCTATAGAAAAGATCAACTGATAGTTACCAGCTAATATTTCGTCTACTGAGTCAGATTTCATCAGGGACGGGTACACATTCTCTTCACGCAACATAATCAGTTCGTAATTCCAAAAACATGGATGTCAGCAGGGGTTCACTGTATACTTTTCTTTGTGCATTTTTATGTGTGGATTTCTTTTGATTGATTTTAAACACGTATTAAAAGGGTGCTAGTAAGAGAGGCCTGCCTGTCAAGTGTGCATGACTGGTTGGATAAAGGTATCCCCCTGTACTTGTACTAGTAGTGTTCATACGAAGACCCTCTAACTGAATACCTCTCTGTATATTCATTTCCTGTGTGTAGAAAAAATATAACTGAACGTTTGCGAAAGGTAAGGTAAGAGGATTCGGATAATTAAAAAAAGTTATAGGGAAAGGGTTCTGATGATACATTGTAAATATAAACTTCGAGATATACTGCGAATAAGCAGAGGATCAAGGAATAGGAAAAAGGAAAGATTGAAAAGCTTTGGACATTCTTGTATTCCCTGTCCGTCCAACCTGAGACAAACCTGGAGAAGAGTGCTCTGTAGGGGGTAAGTCTAAACACGGCTTTACTGAAGAGGGGCCTAGATGGATGTCTTACAAGTCTTACTCCATACGAGAGGTCAGCTGAGTAATAAAATCAATTCCACGCGAAAAATAAGCGATAAAAATCGCCTATGAGTCAGGGTTGTCCTCACCGTGGGCCTACGAATATAGACTATTAAAATAAAACAGTCACAGCGACGAAGCAACAAGGAACGCCGAGGTCGAATTTACATTGTTCCCCATCCCAGCACAGTGACAATAGCGGCCACAGGTGGCGCGAATCAAAGACACGCCGTACCAGGTCATTTTAAATTCCTGTCAACTCAGTGCCAGCGTAAACACATGCCAATAAGTTCGACTGGGGTGACTGTTTATATTGCCGACCCACAGGCTTGACACACGCGACTAAGGCTCCATTCAGAATAGGGAACTAACTAGTCCCAGGGTCAAATATGGCCGACCCACTACAAAGCTTGCCGTCTAATCCGCTAGTAGACACTGAATAGATTTCCCGTTGGCAAGTATTCAAGTGGGTATATTTGACCCTCGGACTAGTTAGTCCCCTATTCTGAATGGGGCCTGAGATGAATAAAATTACAACATAAACGTATATATTCCGTATACTGACTCATAAGTCTGAACACAAAGCGTTATCTCTGCAGAACAGATCGCGAACTGAAGGGGATCGAGTAAGTAAGCTTCCGTTCTATGCTACTTGAACTCCTTGCTGTAATTTCCTTGAAAGGTACGGGTGTAGTGTAATGTCGTTCTCTCTGAAAAAAGTAACATTAAATCAATTTTTTTTCAATGCGGTTATTTGCATGAAATCATTCTCATGTTACTCCATTGTTTTTATTTACTTCCCCATTAGATTAATTCATTTATTATTTAAAGAAGTTTGAAAATTTAATAGACCTATGCTGGGAAAGCTAAAAACCACGTTTTTTATTATCGTTAATCATCACACCAACCTATTTTGGCAGTACACGTTTTGGCATGACACATTCACTAACACCGCATTAAGATCCTCACATCGTACCAGCTGGATCGGGTGATTCTCGATGAATGCAATCAGTGGAATCATGTTAATTGTCTGACGCTCCTCCTCCCGCAGCTTAATTGGGGTAAATAACTATCGTGTGTTGATAAAGCTGATTGCACTTTAGCGAGATTACCCTGAAGAGTTGGGCCGACCCAGCTAGTACAATGTGTGAATTTGAATGTACCCTAATACATATAGAACGTTTGGTTGTTGTACATTGAAGCGCTGTAAAATACCGTGAATAATTAACGGCTAATGCACTTTGCAGGGAGCCTATTTAATCCTCTTAGTGGCAGCTTGTATATTGTTACACAAGTGGGTGTAACGAAGGAGGCTGTAAGCTGCTTGTTATCATTCTATTGCAGGCTTCTTGGATTGTCATAGCCGAGGTCCTTGGCAATCTTTTTTGAATTGAGACAAACTACTTTTCTGAATAAGTCCCAACTAACTTGAAAGTTCAAGGTAAGATTAGTTAGTGACGGGTTTAGTGGTTGATATAAATTTTTGTCATCATTACCGATAGTTACCCGATCGCGAGTTAATAGTCGAGTAGTGAATTTCGCCAGTTTTCATGAAGCTTTGAATTGCGTTCACATCTCTTAATACAGGCACAGGTTGATATCTGTAAATACTGGCGAGCACGTTGACTTGCGCCTTAAACTGAACTTTGTCGTCGAGTTAAGAGATAAAAAACGCATGTTAACAGATGTATGGGTGTCAACCGATTCCATGTTTGTTTACTGTTCATACCCGGGGAGGAGGGGGGGCTGCACAAGAAAATGTGTACCAGTGAGCGGAAAAATTTAGCCCATAATTCTTTGTTTCAAGATAAACTCCGCATGAAGTAGTCCAATAATTTGTAATATTGCACCCGTCTCATGACAAAATATATATTGCTAATGTTTCAGAACAATCGATAGATTATATTCATCCGTTCATCTTGGAGTTAAGTCGACTAAATTAGTGGTCTAAATGTTAAGTCCAATTTTCGGGCTAAAATTCATGTTTGAAACCGGTTCGTGTGGTGTAACTGTCATTAGTCGGCTTCGTCTTAATTAACGCGGAATTTCGCAGTCTGGTTTCCGGTGTGGCGTGATAGACCCGTGCCGTGACGAAACCGTTCTGCACATGCGCATTGAGGGTAGATTGAAAGAAGTAACTTCCCGTATGACGATGTCGTCCTAAGTAGGCGCTATGTTTGCACTGAACTATAATTTTCCAATTCATAATTCAGTGGTTTTCGTCATGAGAGAGTATGTATTTGATAATCATATTACTACAGTATTGGGGGGAATGTTGGAAGAGAGTTTTTGATCGTGACTGAACTGTTTTGCTCTGTGTGAAAAACGTGGCAGATCTAAGACTCGTAGTATAAATCTTTTCACTCTACAATGTTCTTTCAATTCAGAGTTCAGTCATTTTCATTAAAAAGAAATTGTGTGTTTGATAATACTACAACTTTCTCTGCGGGGAAATGTTGGAAATGCATGTGCAGCTACGTACTGTAACAGGGGCGGATCCAGAGATATTTTCTGACAGTCTTCCAAATTATCTTTGTTGATCCATCTTCCATTTTTGGCCGTCTTCCGACAGAAAACATTAGATGGCTGACAATGTAAACTTGAAAATCTGACCGTCTTCCAGAAGACCCAGAAGACGGCCTAAATCCGCCCCTGTGTAAGTCAACAGACTGCTACCCCCGCGTGAATAATCCGTCAGAACGGTTTATTCACGACGACGGTTTCTTCACGTGACACCGGCTCTACTTACTCTGTTCGTCTTCAATATACGATATATTGTTCTGGGTGGAACATGTGTCATATCGATCTACCTTGGCGTGAAACATGTATATTTCATTGGACGTCTACTGATTTATTTTGTTTCAATATAGACGCTACATACTGGTACACGTATTCGCCTATACTGTTAGTCTTATTTTGTGCTGATACAAAGTGGTTTTGTGAAGCAGGGGACTGGTGTCATTGAGTCCATTCAGGTTGATAAATAGCTAACTAGGATACGTATGATAAATACTGGGTGTAATTCACAGATGCACTGAAATCTTCTCAGCATTGACTACTAAATCAAATGTGAAAACATGACTACTTTTATTCAGACCTTACTATTTGGAAAACATCCCGATTCATCTTCATATTCTTCTTGGCATCCACAGGATGGGGGCAGTGGAAGACAGCAAAGCTCGTACATATCCAGACTGGCAGTCTAAGAAAACACTGGCAGAGACCAACAGGTGCGTGTACGAGCGCATTCAGAATACATGATCTGTGGACTAACTGATCTACCGATGAAATATGACCCCACTTAAAAAGCGATGCCGCTGATTCCGGATCTCTGCTGGTCTCCCCGCCTCCACCGCGGATTATCTGCTCTGAATGCGCTTGATATGTCGTGGACCGAGCTCCATTTCAACACGGATGGGAATAGCTTAATATAAATTTTCCCTAAAAACTGTCCTCACGATGTAATTTTGTTGTTACACTAGAACAGAAGTCCAATACAGCAAAATTGATAAAAGAGAAACATTTTGTCACCAAGGAGTATTTGTGCCCTTTAGCGCTTTAACAAGTTGGATATATACTTGGAACAGCCTTAAGTACAGGTTATTTGCTGAGTTTTAGCACGGTTCTCGAACCATATCCGTTTATGTTCGAACTAAAATTACAGATCTGTTTCACAAAAGTTCCACACGTTGTTGGCCTTGGATTATCTGCTAAACTTGGGTAGACGACTAGTAGGTATTTTAAGTCGACTCTGTCTTTATTGGTCTTAAAGCGTTTTATTTAACGAAACATTAGTCCGTAATAGATGTACTTGACATACTGTGATTTAATCGTCACTGCCAAGAGTAAATGCCGTTACTAAGATATTGAAGGGGCGCTGTTCAAGTTACTAAAAAAACGGAGAAAGAGACTGGTGCGGTTTACGTACGACTTAACATTCGATGAAAAAAGGCACTTATATTATTTTTATAAAAATTTAAAAAAAGAAATGGTATAAAGCACCTTATCAAAATGCAGGGATAGGTCCAGCAAAGGGGCATGAGTGAAAAGAAAAGTGCTCTTAATTTGTTTCTTCAAAGAAAATTTTTTGGCGGGAAATTCCCGGATACGATACATTTATTTTACGGCCTCCCTTTATTTTCCAGGTATATGTTGGAGAACGAAGTTGCTACAGATGTCCGTTTTATCGTAGGAAAGGAGATGGAACGTATCCCCGCGCACAGATACATGCTTGTAAGCCGCAGTTCGGTATTCTACGCCATGTTTTATGGTGTCCTGGCGGAAAAGAACGAAGTCGTGATTCCGGACATCGCTCCTGACGTGTTTCGGATGTTACTAAGGTACAAAACAGGAGTACACTTTCTGTAACTTTTTGTACACAGACACAACCTTACACACACACACACACACACACACACACTTTAAAAAATAATAGTTATTAAATAACTTTTTAAAAAAACATACAGAAACTATACATATTACTGTAATTTACATGTATATCAGGTAAAGTGAGGAAATGAGCATGATCTAACATTTTTACTCACGTTTGGATTACTTCGTTAAATTCACCACTGGATTTGTGGAAATTGCATCACCCGGGGTTATTTGTTGGCCTCAAATGCAGGTCAAAATAACACGAGGGCATAATCCTATTATTCTTTGCATTTTTATGTTTTTCTACAGGTTTATATGTGCGTACACTTTAAGTGCTGTTAGAACTTTTATAGAACCTTTCTTTTCAGTCAGTTTTAATCAGTTGGGACAATGCAGCAGCAATTTTTTCTTGCTGCAATCTACAAAAAGTTCCTTGCAAATTGTTTAGTTTGCAGAAAATTTGCTGCAGATTTATTGCAAACTTTTCATTTTGCTAAGGGCATCCATTCATGTTTTCAACATGGTCACTAATTCTTCTATTTTAGATTTTTATACTTGGAGGAGGTCAATATCACCCCGAACAACGTTTTAGAAATCCGGTATGCTGCGCTGAAGTACCTTGTTCCTGCGCTGGCCGAACGATGCAGAGAGTTCCTAGTGGAAAACTTGGATGTCGAGAACGTCTTCACGGTCCTAAACCACGCCGTGGACATCCTTGACCTTGACCTAACCGACCAATGCCTGGCGTTCATAGCGCCATCCGTCGAAGACGTTTTGAACGGTGAAAACTTTTTAACAATCTCACGCAGCGCTCTTGCGGTCCTTCTAAACTGTGACGCGCTCTGTAGCGGCGAGGATGTCCTAATCCAAGCGTGCGAGAGGTGGGCGAACTTTGTATGTAAGGAAAGAGGCATCGCATACCCAACTGGGCAGCAACAAAGAGAGGCACTAGGGGAATGTTTCCGCCTTATCCGCAATACGTATTCTAAACAACAGACACTAGGAGTCGCTACGAACCCCCTGTATACACAGTGTATTGACCATACAAGAAATAGGCCCTGATAAGATCAGTGAGTCAAACCTCTGGGGAACATCCGAGATAGCCTATTTTGAACATCTGCGCAGCAGATGACGTCAAACGAGACCTGGATTGGAGCGAGATTTCACGAGAGGTGGGGTTAAAATCTGCCATTAAAACTTCTCTCGCGGTTGGGCACAAGTCTATGTTATAGGATTGCATTGAGTAAAATTTGGCGTTGTCATGTAATTTGAGATAGAGCAACGCAATGGCGAATTGCTAATGTTGTGTCGTAGGGTGCATTGCAGTCACCCTGAGCTTCAGAGCTAACTTGACACTAACCTTTTCACTGTAGCCTATCTCCATCGTGTCAAGTAACTTACTTGACACGATGGAGATAGGCTACAGTGAAAAGGTTAGTGTCAAGTTAGCTCTGAAGCTCAGGGTGATTGCAGTTAAAGCTAAGCGGAAAAACCAGGAAAATGACCATGGATGACGGACACGACTGGCGAGAGAAGTGAAGTAACGAAAGAGAAGTTGGGCTTGATCAGATTAAAAGGACTTAAAGGGATAATAACTCTTCTTATGAAATCTGTATTTCACAATAAAAACATTGTGAGTGACTCATAAAAATATAATATATTCTGTTTTCCCACAAAAACGGCTGTTATAGCTATTATTCTGATATCTGAGCTTGTCTTTAGACCACGTGACCTCCATTGATGGCTATACTCTGTTAAAATCTCTTAAGAGATTTTAACAAAAAACCAAACTTTTTAGAAAAAAACCAGGGACTAACTTTGAATGTAAAAATGGATTCATTAACCATTGGTTAGTATGGGAAAATTGTTGTTTACTCCAGGAAAATTCATTTTTTGGCCGAAACGAAGAGTTATTATCACTTTAA